AGTTATTTTTTCTATGACATATGGTCCTTCAAATCGTGGAAAAAATTTGGCAGTTTTATCTTCTGGTGCTGAAGAAAGTGAATGCTTAATTTTTAAAAACTTCATCTCCCTACTTTATAAGTTACTCCCCGTCGTTTCAAGTCATAATAAGCTTTTGTTTTCTCTGTGCTACTTCAGTATTCTTTTTTGCTTCTTTAATTAGTTTTTCTATATCACCCATTTTAAATTCTGGGGCTCTTTGTTGCACATAAAATAATTTATCTAACGGCGTTATAATCTTTCTGCCTAAAAATAACTCAGCAGGAGTTTTGCCCGTTGTATCATGTTTTGCGGTCCTAAGGGCGAAAGCAAATTCATTGACATAGTTATCCCAGCTTTTATGAAAATTTTTAACATAACTACGGATAATTTTCACTATATTTCTATTGACCCGTTCCGCTATATTTGATTGCGGCCGATACGGGACCATTTTTAAATGACGTATGCCCAGTTTTTGGCACATGTCTTCAAATATATTACTTACAAATTGAGGACCATTATCCGATATAACTTTTAGGGGCGCCCCGTATTTTAAAATATATTTATTTAAAATAGAATCAGTAACTAATTTCGCGGAGGCTCGTTTTAAGGGAACAATTTCGGTCCACTTACTAAAATGATCAACCATAACAAGGAGATAGCGACTTTTATTTAACTGACTTTTTGGGAAAGGGCCCAATAAATCGATGCCAATTATTTCATTTGGAAATTCGGATTTAATACTATTTAGAAACCCGGCCGGGCGGGCGGAAATTAATATAATTAACTGCTTGACATGTTGGGCAGGACTGGACATACGCCCTTGTTAACTTTTGCAGTTCAGGAAAATAGACTGCCTCGCGTACGCGTTGGATAGTTTTTCGAATACCAGCATGAGAAGCTAAAGGGCTGTCATGGAGCTCCTGCAGGATATTTAATCTAAGACTAGCTGGGATAACAGGTCGAAATTCGTTGTTGGAATTCGTAGTTTTTGTATAAAATAATAGACCATCTATTAGTTCGTAATGGGCCGCCCTATTTCTTATCGCCACAATATCTTGGTGGCTAAAATTTTCAGGATCCTTTAAATACTCATAAATGCTTCCAAACTCAGGATCCTTACCCAGTTCGGTTATTACAGTTTCTCGGGAATTTATTGTACATGCTGTGAGCATTGCCACCTTTACAGTATTACCTTCTTCATCTATTTTAATTCTGGATAGGGCATCTGCTACGATATTTTCCTTTCCGGGGGTATGCTTGATTACCAGATTATATTCTTGTAGCTTGAGTGCCCATCTTATTAACCTTGGGGATAAGTTTTTCCCTGAGTACAATCTAGTTACCGCCGCATGATCAGAGTAGTACACTGTTATTGGCGCCTTTTCCAAAATAGACTCGGAACTTTTGCACTGCTAACAGAACTGCAAGTGCCTCTCTCTCGGTCGCGGAATAGTTTCTTTGTGTTTGATTTAAAGTTCGGCTAAAAAAATGCCACGGGCTGCTGATTTTGCGAAAGTACCGCTCCTACCGCATAATCCGAAGCATCCGCTGAAATTTCTAAATTCTCATCCTTTTCAGGAAATTTCAACACAGGGGCTTGCGTTAATGCTTGTTTTAATTTTTTCGAAAGCACTATTGGCTTCGGCCGTCCACGACGAGAATCTTGCCTTTTTCCTTTTTAATTTTAACAATGGTTCAGCAATAGCTGCAAAATTTTTTTATAAAGGACCTATAATATGAACAAAGTCCTAGAAAAGAAGAGAGCTTCTTCGCCGTGTTTGGAGTCGGATACTTTTGTACAGCGATTATTTTTGATTCGTCTGTCTCTATTCCTTTCTGAGATATTTTGTAACCTAAATATTTTAATTCAGGGGCTGCAAATTTGCACTTTTCGACATTAACTTTTAGACCGGCCTCATTTAATAAAGAAAACACCTGTCTTAAATCCTGTACATGTTGGTCGAGATTATCACTAGTAATAATGATATCGTCTAAATAGATAAATGTGGACTTTCCAAGAACAGGTCCTTAACACAATGTCCATACATCGCTGAAATGTTGCCGGTGCCCCTGAAAGGCCAAACGGCATACGCAAAAATGCATAAGTGCCAGACTTGGTTATAAAAGCAGTCTTAGGCACGTCCTCAGGCCTAACCCCTATTTGAAAATAACCAGTCGTTAAGTCTAAAGTCGTCATATATTTGGTGGATGTTATGTTCCTTAGAATTTCTTCAATAATAGGTAACGGATATACCGGATATTTAGTTATGGAGTTTAATTTACGGTAGTCAATTGCGAATCTCCACCTTTTTGGATGTGTCAAAGGATAGTCATTATTTTTCTTACATAAAACCACCGGGCTAGCATAACTACTTGAGATGGGCGTTATGATCTTTTTACGTAGTAGCATATCGGTGATATGCCATTCTATAATTTTTTTCCTTATTCTTATCATACCGGTATGCTTTGTGGCGAACTGGCATTGAATCTCCGGTGTCAATACTATGGTTAGTAACCTGAGTAAATCCTGGAATATCACTAAATAACGAAGCAAATTCACTTACCACTTGTCGGATTCTTCCTTGCTCTTCATTAGGCAGGTGGTCAAGGTTTAACATCGGCGGTTCAGCCTTTTTCTTCACGAACTGGTTTCATCGTCAGCTTAAGGGACGCTTCATTAAAATCCAGCGTTGCTTGTGCCTCTGAAAGAAAATCTATTCCTAAGATAATATGTGCTTGCAGATTCTTTACTATGAAAAAATCACCTTTACTTGTTCGTCCTTGATACGGACATACAGCGGTAATTTACCTATACACTTACATCTTTCTCCTTGCGCAGCTAACACTGTCGTATTATCCGAATTATATATGCGGTATTTACGAAAATACTTCCTAAAAAATCTTCTGCCACACAGGAACACTGCGCGCCTGTATCCAGGAGTGCGGTGGCTGGGATATTATTCACCAACACTTCAATCTTCGGAAGAGTCAAATTTTTCACCATTACTGTATTTAACTTGAAGGAAGAGGGGTTTTCTTGGCCTTCGGATTTTCCGCACCCTCCCGTCAGCAGAAATCCGTTTTAGTTTAAATTATTTTTCATTTCCGTGCTTTCCTTCTTTTTCCACTGGCCTTGAGACTTTTTTCCTGGATTGCTATTGAACTGTCGACGTTCGCCGGCTGTTTTTTGAATGCTCGGGTTTCCTTGCCCACTGATTCGATTCGCTTTGCTTCCGTAGCCGTGTGCTTCTTGAGTTTGCTGTAGTCTTGGCGCACCAAATTGGTTTCGCTGTTGATATTGGCGTCTTCTTTCAATGTCCGCCGTTCTTCTACTTTCAAACTGGATTGCTAGCTCAAATAACTTTTCCAGTGTAGTCGGATTTCTTAATTCAATAAAGTCTTGCACTTGGGGCAGTAACCTCGGCAAAATCACTTGAATTATCTCAGGATCCGGACGGTTTCCATACAAGAGTTTGAAGACGTGAATTTTTCTTAAAATAAAGCTTGAGAGATTTTTCGATTCTTTGCTGATATATGCTGAAAAAGTTCCGTTTCTAATTTCGCACGATCCCTTACAACAGGGAAGGCTTTTACTAGGGCAGTCTTGAAATTCTTCGTAAGTATAGGTGGGACTTCCTGCTTGACCCAAGAGACTTCTGCCTATACATTTGAACCAATTAAGCGCTTGGCCCCTCAAAGCGCTGGTAGCTAAGGTAAACTTTTTGAAATTCGTGCACGGGGTAGAGTAGAGCATGAAGTGGTCATCCAATTTTTCCAAAAAACTGGTTACCGGTGAGTTTCCATTAAATGTTGCTTCTGGTTTCATCGAAGCGCGCATGGTCTGGACGATGTAACAAATCCTTCCAGGGCGGCAGCTGGCATTTCTGGATTCTGAGCCGCTTCTGCAGGCAGCACAGGTTCTTCTTGAAACTCGGCCATGGTTATTCTTCTTCGTTGGGCGCCACTATCAGGTTCAATGTTCCGTCTTACTTTCTTCGGGAACATGCAAGGACCTGACTCGGAACAGAGAGCTTACTAAAGCTATGTTCAATAACTGTGGGAAGTAGACAGGATACACAAGAAAGGTATACAAAACCCTTTATTTTTCTCTCTTTACAATAATTCCGTACTTCGGAATACAAGACCCACTACTTGTGGTCTAACGTAAAAAATATAAAAAAAAACTAAAACTCTAATTTAACTTTGGAATAAAACGTGGAAGATTGGCCTTATATTAACAGGAAGCCGTATGTACTACAGAGAACTGTGAACACTACAATACGTTTAAAAATTATCAAGAGGATTAAAACCTCTGGCCTGGAAGGCAACCAGCAACTGAGTAAAACTTCTAAGGTAAGCGGCCTGCTTCGACTAACTGCTTCCTCTCTCTCGCTTGGCAAAAAGCCACAACTTAAAGCCACAACCAGTACTTGGTGTTCGCCAGGCAAACTTTTCATAAATACGTTAACGCTTATAATTCTGGCCGGAAGTAGAAAATAAGAAGTGATAGTAAAGATTTAAAATAAAATAAACGTTAGTAAAACTTAAGATCCTTTCAACGTGATTGCATTAACCGCCGCCTACTATACTAATTTACAAATGATTCTATACAAACAGGCTGGTATATATAAGAAATGTTTAGGTTTGGTTCATCTGATTACGGTTACCACACGCGGCTATCTGCTTAAGGAGAGGGATGTCTTCGTGGAGGAGTTTCTAAGAGAAATTGGATCGTATACACGTTACACATGGGAAAAAGCACGAAGGCACGAACACTGGTAGTCATGACCGGGATCCGAATCCCGGTCATGACTACCAGTGTTCAGTGTCTGGCACCAGCAACGTTGCCGCTGGTGCCAACGTGCAAAGTAGCGCCATCGAAATATAGCTAAACAGTTATTCAATGGATAATTTTATTCTCTGAAAACAAAAAGGGAGAATTGATATCATGAAAATAAATGAAGATGCATAACAATTACCCTTGCATGATGGGAAGAATGTCGGAAAATGCTGGCATACACTCTAAAATCTGCGGGCCTGGATGGATGATGTACGTGCTGACTTCTGTTGAGAATTCTTACGTAAAATGTCAGTGGTCGTGCCTAAAAAATGAAAAATTGTTATTTTCTTTAGAAACAAACAAAAAACCTCGATGAAATTCCTGGAGTCTCCTTGACCCCGCTTCCATAAAATGGTATACTCCTCTTTAAACCAAGCTTCAATATCACTTCATTTTTTGAGTAACTGTTATCAAGGTCATGGACCTTTATTTTAATCACGTTTGAAATCTAAACTCTTTTTTTAATGTTAAACAATTATTTCAAATATTATTCTGTGTTCTATAATCATTAAATAATTTATTAATAATAATATTTTAATACAGAATAATAACAATAATTATCCTTTAATTAATTTTTTGGTACAATAATTTACATGTACTTTTATATCATACAATGGTAAATATAATTTGAGCCGTTTCATATTGGTGTCGACATTTACAGATGATTATTTGAGAATATGCAGCATAAAAATATACGTTTTATGTAGATTTACTCTACAAAACATATATACATATTTCAGACAGTAATACTCTGATTAACCGTTTGACTAACAATTTAAAAAAATTACCCCGTTTTCTATCCAAGTGAACAAATATGCCATACCTAAGGCAAATTTATCATTTGCGATTTTTTGACGCACGATTTTTAAGCCAAGCAATATGTCCCAGCCGTATGGTAATGGTGGGATACATACGTCCCACACGTAGCGACCGACTTACTAGAAGCACCCTTGTTATTCTGGAAATCTTTATCTTATGAAATAGAATTTACATCGTATAGTACAATTAAAGTATTCTTTGCATAACCCAGTATTACACCCTAGGCAACTGATATTTCTTCTTTTCTCTATCAGTGGAGTAGCGAGCATAACTGGCGCCCTGGGCAAAGTACCTTTTTGGCGCTGCCCCCGAAAGGAACACAGTGATAGGATGAAAAGTTTGGAGACCACCATTAGCACCCCTCTGCGAGCGGCGCCCGGGGCATCATACACCCCTTGCCTTCAGCTTGAACCGTAACTGTCGGCAGTGATGTTTGCTGTGTTTGTTGCGCTTGTGTAGAAGGGCTTATATATTTGTGCATACTGATTTTTGGTGTCTAAAAGTGCTGTATTTGGAATCTACAGGCCTTCCGGTTTGTGAAGATGTCTTACGTTTAAGGATTCGAGGATTTTTGACCGAGTTACAAGCATTTTAAGATTTCATGCGTATTTAGGAGCTCATTTGCATATGACTTTGGAGTTTTGGCCTGTATTCTTTTACATCGACTTGGTAAAGTACTTTTGTTTTGATTTTTAGTTTCTATACATCTTTTACTATCTGTATAGTGAATATGATTCATTTTCATGGCCTATTTTTAAAGTTATTTGTATTTGAAAATTTGATACTACGTTTTGTTTACGTTTGAATCTTTGTGATTTTGCACCGCGGGCATGTCAACTTTTAGCCAACTGGAAAATATTGAAATTTCGGATTTTTAAATGTTATGCCAGGAGAGACTTATATATAAGTTGGTGCATTGATTTTATATGTTTTTCAGCCCGTTGGACAATTTTTGGATTTTCCGCATGTAAGATTGATTTTATATTTTACTATGAATGCTTTTGAGAGTTGAGGTGTTTTTAAGTATTTTGATTGATTATTTTAATTTGTAAATCTCAATATTTTCAGCTTTTAAGGAGCTTTTAGTTTTATTTACTCCTGATATTTATAAAATTGGATTTGTTCGGATGCTAAAGCTGGATGGATTTAATTGTGCTGTAGAAACATTTTGGATGCGTTTTGCAATCATCTTAATTTTGTAGAATGTATATGTTTTTGTGTGTGTTTCTGTTTATGTGATACAAACCACTCTGTATTTTACTGAATTTTATTGTATATGAGAGTTCTTGCCATTTTAACTAATTTTAAATTGTAATTATTGTAAATCTTATATTTGTATATATGTTTTTATTCTGAAAATTTTAATACGGCCCCGTCGCAGTTATATTAGTGAATAATTGTGTGAACTTTTCGTGATTTTTGTGATGAGTCAACTGAAGAGTAATAAGGAGAGTAAACTTGTGGAAGCTGAGGGAGAGACTTTGGAGAGTTCGGATGAAATAAAAGAAATTATGGACTGTAGTAATGATAGACCTAACAATGAAGGAAAAATTGCGAGTGTCCTCGTTGCTGTTAGATCATTATATGATTTTGTAGACAAGTTAAAAGCTAGACGAGTCTCACGGGAAATTACCGATGGTTTAGCTAGAGGTATAGATAAAGTTTTGGATTTGCTTGTCTCACAGAATTTAAAGACTATTGAAGAGGACATGGTGCAATCAAGAACCAATATTTTATTTGATATTAAACAGGATATAGATGAAATTAAGGTTATTTTGCAGAAAGATCGAGATATATGTGAAATGAGGGATAGAAAGAATAAAGTATTGGATGTAAATGATTGGAGAGAAAATGAATTAATAGTTAAACCAGCTGCAAATGGCGTTGATGTATACGAGGAGTTATATGAGGAGTTAATTGCTAACGTTAGACCAGAGGATGTTGATATAAAAATAATAATGAGTTCCTATACGAGAAAGAATGGTGATTTGGTGATGAGGTTTAAAGATAGCAGAGAAGTAGACACGGTACAGAATGTTATTGAATCCAGGGAAAATTTAAGGGATAAACTTTATACAAGGAAGAAAAGGTTTATACAACCGAAGATTATTGTATATGGCGTATGCAATTTAATAGATGATAAGGAGATTATGGATAAAATGAAGGAGGAGTGCGTTTGTGATGGAAGTTGTGTTCGTCCTCTCTTTAGACAAAAATGTAAAGAGTCCGACTAGATTTCTCATCGCGTTTTCCGTGTAGACCCTCGATGTCAAGCTGTTGTCCTGGAAGACTGCAGAGTTCGTATAGGTTGGAAGGCATATTCGGCTAAGCTCTATCTTAATCCGAAGAGATGCCTGCGTTGCTTTCGATTCGGGCATACTACCAAAAATTATAAAAATGAAATTGTATGTTTTAGATGTTCTGAACCACATGAAGTTAAAAAATGTAAAATGGATGTAGAGATTTGTGTAAACTGTAAGAACTCTAACTCGAAATATGGTACTCATTTGGATGTTCATCACCATGTTTTATCCACGAGATTGTGAACTATACAAACGTGAAGTTATATTTATTTCAGAACATATAGGTTTAGTGAAATGATTTATTTTAGGTTTTAAGGGTTAGAACTGCGATTGGGCTGTTTTATTATATTTTATACTGATCATAATCTTATGGTTTATAATTTTTTGTTGTTTATTATTGGCTATTGTACTGTTCTCTTGATTATGAAAGTGCTAAATATAAACTTGAATCACTGGGCGGTGGCAGCTTGCCAGTTGGCTGCTGTTGAGGATATTTTAGAACAGAAGTTTGACTTGATAACTGTCCAGGAGCCCTATTATGTAAATACAGAAATCCCACATTTAAAAAAGGGTTGGAGAGCGGTGCATGATGTAAGGAGAAGATCTGCCATAATTGTCATCAAAGAAGAGATTGAATTTATTATTTTTTATAAAACAAATGAGATAGTAGCCATCTCCTTGAGAATGGAGAACTTTACACTGGGTGTTGTGTCGGTATACTTCTCCCCTGCGGAAAACTTGAATTTACATTTGACAAGACTTGAAGACGTTTTGAATAAGTATACATTTCATGCTGGAGATTTTAATTCGAAACATTTTAATTGGGGTTCTTGGACTGTGGATGATAGGGGTGTTTTAACCATGGATTTTTTTAATACAGAATAATATTGTTTTATATAATCAATCAGACTCATTACCAACTTTTGTTTCCGCAGTAGGGAAAGGTTGGACAGACTTGATTCTCAGTTCTGCCTCTCTCTCCCCGTTTCGTATTGAACTCAAGATACATGAAGAGGAGAGAGAGTCTTAGCGACCATAGATATGTTGCTGTTGTTGATATTGAAGATGTTCAACCTGTGAGAAATGAGAGTACTGTTTTTACAAAAAAATCTTGTTAGAATAAATAAATTTTGTAAAAAACTTAAACTGGATATGGAATTAATGACGGATAGACTGAGATCAATTGATGATGAAAATAATTTGGAGAATTTTGTGGATGATTTTGAAAGGTTGATTGTCTAGAGGGCTAAGAGGTACCTGACTATACGTGGAAATAAGGTCAAGAAAACCTATTGGTGGAATACGAGTTTGCAAAAAATGAAGCGACGGACGAGAGCATTGAGAAAGAGTTTTCAGTTCAGAGATATTGATGAAGAAACAAGAAATAAGAGAAAAGTTTTATATAAAAGAGAGATGGCACTTTCTAGAAAGCAGATAAAGAAGAGTAAATATGAGAGTAAAATCAAACATTTTTTGGAAAATAAGGTATATCATGACTGTTTACTTTTACGTTCCAGGGAATCAGGTTTTGTTACGTTTTGCCCAGGGAAAGCGTCGGCTACCACAGATAATAAGTAGAGTCTCGGAGGGTGAACATAAGGAATGTACTGAGGTGATTGAGGAATATTTTAATAAGAATTTTGACTGTGGTGAGTTTGAGGATGGGATTATTGATCATGAATTGTTAAAGTTTTCAAATTGTTGTGCTGGTGATTTGCCTTTTACTTCTAATGAGATCGGATATGTAATTAATAAACTAAGAAATAAAAGTGCTCCTGGACTGGACAATATTTCTGCGGTGGTTGTGAAGTGCCTTTATAAGTATTACGAAGAGTTTTTTGTTTTATTATATAATACATGTTTCCGCTTGTTGGTTTTTCCGAGGGCGTGGAAAATATCAAGAATTATATTTATACCGAAAAATGAACAAGCGGTTAGACCAATTTGCTTGTTAAAGTTTTTTAGTAAGGTCCTGGATAGACTTCTCACCAATAGATTGTATCATTTTTTCTACAGAGAAAATTTTATTTCGGATAGACAGTTGGCTTTATCGCAGGCAGATCAACCAATGATGCTTTGTATAAATTGATCAATATTTTCTGAGGAAAAAAAAAAAGAGATTATCATGTAACTGTTGTTT